TGGACTGTGGCAGTAAGAGCAGTGGATGTTGAGTAATTGGATGCACAAACAGGAACCAACCTAACTGAGCGGGGAAGCTTTTTTTTAAAGAGACAGCTTTTTTTCCCCATTCAGTTTTATCCCATTGCACACGCTGCAAAACATGCACTCACCTTTAAGAGGGCCTGATGTAACCTACTGTGTCCTGCCTGCCCCTGTGAGTCAGCACTCAGTGCAGAAGACGACACCACTGACTGACAGACAACATGCACACACACATACACACTCGGAGAGTTAATAACCTTCAGGGTAAAACCTATTAAATATGCACAGACGCTAGATCACATCATTCACAAGCTAACGTGTGCAGGCAGATGGAGGTTCAGCCGTGATCTCTCACACAAACAGATAGGAAAACTCACATTTTTTTCTTCACTTGCTCTATTTACATGCACTACTCGCTGTGACAATTCTCTGGAACTGTGGGCTCTTAATGTTTTCTTTGAATGATTTTTGTTTTCAGGGAGGAGTAAGCTTGCAGCAAATAACATCAATAACTTCGACGTCAGTAAGAGGTCAAGAGCTGGACACATAAGTTAGACTTTTTTGTGGATTTTCAGTCTATAGAGATTCAAGCTCAAATATATACATACACTTAATATGTGAAATGTCTCTTAGCAAGTTGCAGAAAAGCTCCACTCCTGTCATATTGATTAATAAGGTTCCAAATTAATTCTGGCTGAAGATGCTGTTTTGCTTCTTAGCAGATTTTAAGCATACAGCATGCAATTTCAATAGAGTTTAGGTCACAGCCAATACAAAAGCACCACATTAGCTATATTTGTCCGTTCTAAAACCGTGGGCAGGATCATTAGAAGTGCGACGAGCCAGAGAGCTAGCCTACTTACTGCTCATGTACAAAGCTGAAATGGCGAGCTGGAAGACCAATGATTGCAGAACACGTCTTCACAGGTCCTACCCTGTTGATGAAAATCGAGAAAGATAAAACACTTTTGATGAATGAGTAGTAGAATGTCGGCAAGATCTTGGTGAGTTTAGCTATCTAAGACGATGCATCCTCCGGTGACACTTCTTCAGGATTCCCTCAGTGTTAGAGGAGAACCTTGTTATCAGAGATGGTACCTAAATACTTAATCCCTCTACTATCTCAACCGGAGAACTGTGAACCACAGTGGTGACAGCCAATGCCAGTTCCCTGGAGAAAATACTGAAGAAATGTGAATTTAATTATTTTAGCACAAGCTTTTTTTTGGGGGGGGGGTTCCAACTCCCAAAAAACAGGATTGTAAGTTTACAGAGACGTTGATGGCCCAATTGCCAGTCGTAGGCCTGCGGGGGGATAATTGCTCGTCAAAGCTTCTGCTTGAGTCATTACTGCGGTTTTAACCTCAGAGCATCTCGCAGCATGCCGACTGGAGCAACCAGTGGCACTACAGTCTGTCATTAGTGACACACAGGCAGAGGTCACGTGTGTGTCAGTCTGACAGTTTTACTAAGCCGTGTTGCCTGTAAATAAATGCTGAAGATTTCTGTACTTGGAAGTTATTGTACAAGTTTCAGAGGCATCTGGGTAGGATTGTCTTTGATGACTTTGTGTGGCCATGCTGTTGAACACCATAAGATGCAAACAGGTGAAAGTTAAAAATCAGTTTTTTTGAATACAGTCTGATTCAAACAGTTGGACTGTTATCTGTTCAAAATTCAAGGGGTGAAAATACTGTAGTGATGCTCTCTGTATGTATACACTATAAATGTGTTGTGCTGCTACCCACTCCATGTCTTGTGTCTCTTTGCCCTGTCAAGGATTCTGGTAATGTTTTGATGAGAAAACCTAGATGCACAAACCTTCTGATTCCTGCAAAAACACACAGAAAATTGCTTACTTGCTTTGCACCTTGTGATAGACTGACACGTTTACTTGTATCAACAGACCCCCCATGCGACACACTCGACACTTCCAGACCGAGTGAATCACCCTCCTCCTGAACGACAGCATCACAGATCGAGTCTACGTTATGGATTAGGCAGTGGATTATGATGGATTAGAAATCTGGCATTCACAAAAACCAGTGTAGGCTTTCACTGCAGGGTGACGTCATTCCGTTTGGCTTTGCAGGCTGTCGATCGGGGCTCACTCAGCCTCATGCCCTCCTTCATTACTTTGTTTGTTTGACTCGTCTGCTTCTCACTGTTAGCTTTGGTGAAAACAGTTGCATTTGTCACCGTTTGCTTTTTATAAGTGTGACTCTGCATGTGTTACTATGGCAACGCCGTACATTCCTCCTTACGCGTTTTCCCTTCTGGCTGCTTTTCATCTTTCTTCTTTTTTTTTTTTTTTGGTTCATCAGCTCTAGATGGAGGAGAGTCGTGCTGAATGAACCCAATTAGGGTTATACATTTCTATTAGTGGAGGGTCGCTGTTTTTTTTATTTTTTATTAAAGCTTCAGTTATTTTTTTCAATTTAAAATGAATAATGCATAAGTGATTGACTTAATGGTATCTCGGAGGCTGTTTTTGTGTGTGACACAGAGACGCACGTTTAGATTTATGGTTTAATGACGGCAGTGTACCACTTTCTAACTTCCCACTCAGACACAAGCACACGTGCCATCTTAGCCAGATTGAAAGAGGATGAGCAGTCTGCTGTGGACAGGTCTGTGAGAGAGTGATTTATAGCCGTATAGACACAAACACACAGGAACACACTTACTCAAACACCTCCAATAGCACTTACTCATCTCGTTCTCATTCAAGTTTAGCATTCAGTTTAGTTTAATCTGCCGACAGACACCTACAGCCACTGTAATCTCTACAGACTACTACTGCTGATGACGGATAAACGCTTTTCTCTTACATATCTTCTCTAAAGACTCCAGGTTCAGATTCACCTAAACCACTGTGTCACTTTTGTTTTATGTTCAGTATGTTCATGAATTTTGAGACAATTTGTGAAGCTCTCTTTCTAAGATGTGTTCTGCGTACATTTTTACTGAAAGAAACAAAATCAGTTAGATTTTTTTGTAAACAGACTCTGGCCTACACAAGAACTATATGACCAAACATGTTTTCTCCTCATACATGCTTCTCTTTAAACAAATCAAAATTAAGTTGTAGTTTGACCTTTACTGGCAGCAAGAATAAAGAGCAGCCCTTCTGTTTAGCCTTTGTTACAGTACAAATGCTTTGGGCAAGATGCCCTTTTCCAGAACTCATTTAAGATAACAATGTTGTAGAGCAAAAGGACTTTTCTCTTTATGGGAAGATTAGATGGCTTTGCCCTCAGGAGCCTTCATTGTGTTTCTGTCTTTAATAGTCTCGTCAGTTCTAAGCTCTTTACTCGGGACTTACAGAGGAACAATGTTCTTGACTTCACACGTTTCAATTATTTATCATTCGACGAGCTCTGAACAGGATGAGAGCAAAGCTGGATGTGGCGCTCTGTGAAAGAACAAGCTGAGAACAGAAAGAGCGACCAGCCATCGGAAGAAGTTTGGATTATTTATGGCAATTAAAATTGATTTACTGAGAGTTTACAGTGACAAGCCTCAGATTGATGTGCCATCTGGGTAAGATGCAGGTTGATGATTAACCTTAAAATGTATTTAAAAAATAAACTGGTGGTAAATATCAGGAAGCCTGGTTCAGCTGTAATACATGATGAATCATGAATCAAAAGCCGGGAATATGATCTGGTGTCAAGCTGGTGCAGTGTGCTTGTTTGCTTAAGTGACTCAGCTTCTGAATAAGGATGAGCAGGTGGATTATCAGCACTGGAGACGAAATAAATAAGCTGGTGATTTCAGGCAGGTGTAGGAGCAGAACATCAATGGTCGACACAAATGAGATAAGCATGTGCAGTTGGTGTCTCTTCACTGGATCTTTTGTTTTCCCCTCTTCCCCATTGCTTACTTGTCTTTTCTTACTGAAAAGACAAGTAAATCTAGAGTGAGGGATGCTGTTAAGTCTCCTGCAGCCCTCTCTGTTCAAAGCCTAATGCATTTCCCTTAAATATTTCAATGTATTCCTCTTCTGTTCTGCAAGGCTGAGTACAAGCTCTCCGTCAGCTGGCGCCCACATAGGCAGACTGCCACCAGGAAAATCCTTCTACTGGCTTGATGTCTCAGAATGCCAGAGAAAATAGCTGGAGAGTGACATCAGAAGGGAGAGAGATAAGGCAGGCAGGCAGGGTTTTGGAGCGATGCAAGACGATAGATCCAGGCTTCTCGCATTATTTAAAGTGCATTAAATAATCGCCTTGTTCTCTGTGGCTATTTGTTCAGACTTCTCTTTGTGTTCTGCTATTTACAGTACTTCCTATGCAGATGCGAGAAGGTTTGGTGGCTGATGCAATGAGAAGCCAACTTGTTTTCTCTTTCTTCTTCTTTCTTTTCAGCGGTTCTGCTTTGCAACATCTGATATTGCTGAAGCACACACAGCCACAAAGAGTAGTAAGCAAAAATCCCAGTCAGTACATGACAATAACACCTGTATCATTCACTTCCCACTTTATGAGCTGTTGTGTGAAACAATAACTCCCGTGTTTCTGTGTGTGCCCCCTTGTCAGACTCTCCGATGGCACATCGAGCCTTGCTGCACCAACATGTGAAGCCTTAGTGCTTCATTAATTTCAGTTTTTCATTACGGTGAACTCCCGTATTTCCCCCCCCCCTCCCTCTCTTTCCTTCACCACTCCTTCCATTAAATTCCTTGGCAGCAGCTGTCAAGGGGGTGAACCTTAAGGAAGTGAAATGTTTTCTTGCTTTGTCGCTCCTTACAGAATAAGCAGATGTGAAATGCAGACACAAAGATGTGCTTCAATATGTTTACACCTACATATAGTAGGCTTTTACTAAACATCCTATCAGAACAACCAATAAGGACATATCCAAGAGCAGATGGTATTGATCTGAATGTCTCAGGGTTATCGGTGGAGCAACTTCTCAGCAGCTGATTTATGGAGGAAAGACAAATACTTACTGGCTCTTTCTTCTGTTTCCAGTTGCAGAACCAGTAACCGGAAGAGCCTCATCCTGACCAGTACTTCCCCCACCCTGCCGAGGCCGCACTCTCCATTACCCGGACACATAGGTCAGTAAGACGTATACCTGCCTGCCAATATAGAAAGGTAATCTCATGTATTCTAAATGTCGACATATACAGGGGAAAAAACCCCCTCAGCACATTCTTACCTGGAATGTCCCTCCATTCATCTAACAGTGCATGGATTTTTCCTAATACTTGTTCATTTTCCAGATATAATAAGGATTGTTTTCACCATCTGGCTAATATACATTAAGAAGAATTAGATTTTTTATGTGCTTAGTTTTGTCCACACTCGTTATATTCATTTTGTAAAATTATGTTCATTTATATTTTTGTGTGTTTGAATATCTTTAAAGTATGAGTCTGTGATAGGAATTTAACTAATTTAAAGCACAAAGAGTGTTTAAATATATAGACAAAATTATGCCAGAAAAATTATGGCAACACAAAGGATGTAATTTCAGTGTAGCTTTCTTAGAAAATGTGTCCATATATTAGTCAGAGTATGTTATACAGATCTATATTTGAGCCTACATGTGTAATTTTCAACCTGTGTGCAGAATATATTCACCAAATATTAAGCCAATATACCTAATTATTTGTATTATTTAAATAAAATGTATTGAAGTAATTTATTAACAACTTCAAAAAATAAAAAAGACAAATATTTAAATTGCTGTAATTTTTATTATAAAATGTTTGGTGAGAATTTTCCTCCTGCAATTTTAGAAAGTATAGATAAAATTGGACGTACAAAACAATCTGTATGTTTACACTTTAAAGATCTTTGCAGTTTCAGGAAAAACTCCTCATCATTTTATATCTAAACTGGTCCAATTGTTTCTGTATTTACATTGCAAGAGTGGTGTCATGCACTCCAAAAGTCTTCACAGTTTTTCTACTGGGTGCCTTATCTTAGATAGAACATTCCAGCACCTGTAGTAACTTCTCCATGTCTTTGATATGCATGCAGGAAGCGGTTATGCAAATTCTTGTTGAAAAATGCATGGACTTCTGTGGAAAAGATGTCGTCTTGAAGGCAGCATATGTTGCTCTAAAACTTCTGCTGTACTTGCTGGCATTAAGGCTGCCATCATAGAAGTGGAAATTAGCTTTGCCAGGGGCAACCGATACGAACCCATGCTGTTACAGAGCCTGGCTTTGAGACCAATTTTTCAAAGTAGTCAAGATCTCCCCTTATTGTCTTAGATCTAAAGCACAGGTCATTCTTTCACCATCTGAACTAATCTCTAACGTACAGCTCAGAATTCAATTATTTTGTATTCCTAGAATTCAATTATTTTGTATTCCTAGAATCAATTTATTATATATTATGTAGAGAGAAACATTTTTCTTTAAATATTTTTATAATTTTTGTTAAGTAATTGAAAATCCCCTGACCTTCTTTGCTACTCGAATCAAAATTCTAATTGCTTATAGAGTTAGAGCACAGACATCACCTTGCATTGCATTCTGGGATTTTTGGGGTCTTACTGTCAGATCTGCTAAATAGTTGTCTACTGGATGGTGAAAGAGTGACGCAGTAGACAAAGACAAAGAGAAACGGAAAGGAGTATAAAGAAACGTGGTTTTATTTATAACAGAAAGCCTTACAGAGAAGCAGCAATTTCTTTTTACTCCATAGTTTTTTGTAGATGTTTCGTTGAGAAGCTCTCCGCAAAGTGAAGAATTAGCTATTATTTTCTGCTCACATAATCTTACATTTTATCTGATGTTGAAGTTTGAATCTGTCTTAGTCCTACACAGTATTCAATCTCCAACATGTGTTATTGTGATACAATGTTAAATAAAATGCCAAAGGATTAAAATGTTGCTCTTAATAAATGCTAAGATTTAAAGATGATTAATAATTAACATTGAGTCTTTTATTGAATGTTTTTGTAATAATTCAGGTCTAAGGACAAACAGTACAGGTTTGGATTCCTAACCTACTGTGACTCAGGATTAGAAGTGACCTAGATTTTGATGATTAGATAGGAAAATGTCTTTTTCCGTCATTAGAGACGTGAGACTTGACTTGGACTTGGAGAAAAAGACTCTGAACCACAACAGTTAAAAGCAAAACCCCCCCCCCAAAAAAAAAACACAGTGTGTGTATATCTTTGACAACTTTGTTTAGTATTGCATTCGTATTTCCCTACAACTGCTTCCCTGCTTCACCATCACTTTACCTTAGCAGATGAAACGCAGAAACATTTCCTGTAGGTGTTTAAAAAGTGCAAGCTAGATCATAGTTGTCTCAAAGACAAAAAAGTGTAATGTCCTGCTTTATCCTGCCAACTGACCTGTGTTCCTCTGTTCTCTCCACCGGCGTTTCATCAGGAAGCAGTCCACTGGACAGCCCTCGCAACTTCTCACCAAGCGGACCTGCCCACTTCTCGTTTGCCTCATCTCGAAGGTTGGCTTTGCCTTTTATCATCTGTAGCTACACCTGTGCTTTACAAAAACACAACAAGGCATTGCAGTTGAATTGTTCTTTGGATCACTTTTGCACACACGACGTCTATCACAGATCTATACGTCTTTGTCCTGGCCTGCTCCCTCTACGCCTGTGTGACAATGTCTTGACAGCAGGCTGACACAGTTTGAATCGGGCGACGAGCCAGGACTGTGCCCCTCATTACTCACTCAGAGGAGGCGTCAGACTCTGTGATGATTGGAGAAAGCCTCGAAGGAGAAGAACCAAAGAATCCTACGTGTAATTGGATTGGGAGGAAGTGAAGGTGGCGGATTTGCTCTTGTTTAACCGCCAGTTGTGTTTTGCCGTGAAAATAAAATAGAAACATAAGGTTACAAAAGAACTCATCCCCCCTCTTGGTGTCTAACAAGAATCCTCTTTTCTCACTCTGGTTTTTCTGTCTTTTGTCAGGGCTGATGGGCGTAGATGGTCTTTGGCATCTCTGCCTTCCTCAGGATATGGCACCAATACACCCAGCTCAACGGTAGGCTCAACAAGAAGTTAATACAGTTTTTTTCATTTATCTTACAAGAAAGACAATTTTCTAATCCGTTAAACTATTTATGTCCACTTTTTGACTTTGTGATGCAAAAAAGTAAAGCAAACTCGTTTTGACCTGAGGTTCAGACTCTCCTGTGTTCACATTTTCCTGTCTATAAGGTGTAGCCAAGTTGTCTGACAAAAAGCATTCAGTAAAAGCAAAAGCAGCTTTTACTTCCCTTGAGTTTGTTGTCTTATTGTTGCAGCAGAAACCTCACTTTATCCCCTCTCAAATCGAGATCCTTCTGACTAAGTGTGCCTTTGTAACAGGAAACTTGTCTATCAAAAAGCAGCGCAGGATTTCTCTTCCCTCTGCACAGTGTGAAAATGAAAACTCACTGGGATCGCATGCTTTCATCTCCATGTGTACCAGAGAAGCTCGGGAAGAAAACTGACATGAAAGCGCGAGAGATCTGGGTTTCTTCCACACTAATCTTTCTACCTAACTCCAAAAATCCTTATTTTAGGAGCTCTCTTATTTCTGAGTAAAAAGTTTTGCATCATTCTCATACATATATTTGTTCTATTCAAAGAATGAATTTGCATATATTTTAAAGATATAAGCATGATCTCTATGGATGAATCCATGTTCTGAAGATACATGGTTTCGTTGTTTTGCTTTAAAATGATTACATGCCGCAGTTGCAGCTGAATGCCGTGGATACACAAACATGTTCGCTCGAGCGTTCTTTGACTTTGTGTTCTCTTCAGTGAGTCTTAGGTGATTTTCTTCTCAAAGCTTTTGACTCGCAAGAACATGCAACGCATGTAAAGCAGAGCTAAAAATATCTAATCAGTTGCTAAGATATGATCGACCTGGCTTAGCTGCAACTCATATCTTAGCGTTTCAGGGGAAAAAAAGAAGTGCAGCAGAGGTAATTGAAAGGAAATGTAACCAATCGTTGTGTTTGCAAGTGGTTTCTCTTTTCATCTCTAAATCTCCAGAGAGGCAGCGAAAGATGATAAAAGGAGCCAACTGAGACAAAATGAAAGAGAGGGAGTTAGAGATGAAATATGATTTCAGGCAAACAGGGAGACTAAAACAGCGTTCGGCTCAGTCTGAATTCAAGATGTTCGAAAGATAAGAGGCTTCTGTGAGAGACGAACACTGCCAAGGCACATTTCTTTTTTTTTTTTCTTTTTTTTAATTGTCCATTTAGGAAATGGACTGTAATGCGAGGGAAGCTCAGGTGGATGTGTCAACTCACAGTACACTCGCAGTGCGTTTATTTATATCCTGGAGAAAATCACCTCCTCTTCATCCTTTCTGCTTATTCCTCCTAATTTCTGCACTGCAACAACAAGGTAATTCACTCCACTGACTCTTTTTGTTGAAGCTGAAGATATCTGCTCTGTCTCTCCAAATTCTTTGTACCTCCAAAACACCTCTCCAGCCTTTCCACCCCGTCATTACTGCTCTGCTGGTTCTGACATGGGCCATTACTCGCTTGATTAGCTACAGTGGGACACTTGCATACTAACCAGAAACGACGAGAGGAGAACTCTTGTATTTAAAAGGGAGTTTTGCTTTGAAAACATTATGTATATATAAAAGAAGGGCTGCTGTAAATCTATGCAACATTCCAAATCACAATTGTCATCGCAATCTCTAAGGACTGTTAGGCTGCAGTAATTGGTAGTATATGTATTTAGTTTTGTAAAGCTTTGATTGATCAGTGAACAGTCAGAGGTTTTCCCAGGATGATCTAGAGTCAGGCGCAGGCAGATCTATTGATCTGAATTGGCTCTGAGCTGGAGTCCAGTACATCTTGCAGATATTTGCTTGTTTTTGACCTTGAGCATTTTCAACTATAAACAGTCCCTTGCAAAAGCATCTGGTTGAGCTTTTCCATGTTCTTTGACATCACAAAAAGAACCTTTATGTATTTTATTGTGACTTCGTGTGGCACACAAACACAAATCAGTGCTTGGATAAAGATGTGCTTGGAGTTACTGTCTGGTACAAAATGAATCTTCCCACTAGTTGCAAATACTTTGCAGCTTCTAACAAGTTTTATTATTGACTTTTATTCAGCTCTGTCCGTCTTTCCTGTTTCTGCTGAAGAAAAGTATCTAAACAGCATGATTCTGCCACCTTGGGGGTCAGTGAAGTTGTGCCACAAACTTCTTAGATTTAACTGCGGTGTAAAATCTCGTTGGGGTGTGAATACTTTTGCAATTCCTTGGATTACTCCAGTGAAGCAGAGTGCGCTGTCCTGTTGGGCTGCAGCAGCTGCCATCCTGCAGGGCTGTTGAAACGGAAATCGTTTCGTGGTAAATCAGTTCTTAGCTGGGTGCGGTGACATAGAGGCATCTATATTAACTCCAAATCCAAAGATTTTCCTGCAGAAAGTTGCTTCATGCCATCGTGATTTTTTTTCCCCTCATTTTACTGCTTTAAATTGTGTCAGTGTGAATCTGCATGTATCCAAAATCAATAAAACCTCATCGAAATGCTACAAAGTCTAGAAATTGACTGCTAGGTGATCCAACTGTGCTCCTCGTGTAGAAAGTCATTGTAGATTGACTGAATAGAAATGCTCACAGAAACTCTTTGAAATACGAGATCGATACTAAACATATCTTTTCTATATTGATCGTTATATTAAATTAATTTTCTATGAAATTATCTATGTGTCCAAGAACGTCCTAATTAATGTAGTCCTGTCAGCTCTTCTCTGAACTGAGCATCAACTGGATTTTTGTAGCAGAAATGCTTGTGACCAACGCTAGCCTGATGGGAGATGTGTTCATTAAGCCTCACATTGATCCAGGCCATTTTCCACTCCTGTGCAGAAAAAAAGTCTTTTGTTTGAGCCCAAACAGCGTTACCTTCACCTCCCAGTGCTATCAAACACTTAAAGCAGCAAGTCAACTTCTACTTTAAGTTACATTTTTGAGGGGCTGAGGTCTTTCTGATGTTTTCTTGGCTACTGAAGTTGGCTATGCTTCTACACAAACCCTTTCAGTGCTGTATTTTCTCCACCTCTCGTAGTTGCTTTTTTCTACTTAGTCGCTTCTTTCAATCAATTCTCTACCCACACACATCATGCTGTGCTTTCTTCTTTTCTTTTCTTCCCTTTTCTTTTCTTTTTGATGTGGTCTTTGTTATCTCTGGGTATCTATTTTTAAACTTTTGATGTTTTTCCTACAAAGCCTTTTAAAAAAATAAGTCAGAGAAAGAGCAGGTCACTTTAACCCCTCTCTTTTTTTTTTCCTTTCTTCTTTCTGTGTCTGATCCCTCTCCAGTCGTCCAGTTCCTCTCAGGAGCGTCTGCACCAGCTGCCCTTTCAACCAACCATGGATGAGTTGCACTTCCTGTCCAAGCACTTTGGCAGCACAGAGAGCATCACAGACGATGACGGGGGGCGGCGTTCGCCACACGTGCGACCTCGCTCCAGAAGCCTCAGGTACGAGAGCTGCAGGGCAAAGGAAACATATCGAGACTGGAGTTGTTGCCGGTTCTAGATGGAAGGCCTCTGGTTCTCTAGACTCGCATCTCAGTTAGTTTCCATGGACAACCTACGTCCCAATGAAAGGCAGATAATCTTACTTAACAGATTATGAACATGCAGACTTCAGAAACTTGCAGCTGCCAAGTACTGAAATATAATGATGTTATTTCTTACAAACAAAGGTGGAAGAAGATAGAAAAGCGTTTTCAAGTGCTTGCTTGCTTACATCCTAATGGAAAGATCTTATGCCAAGTGGTGGAGGTAGAACAGATGAAAACCAAGAAAACAAGTCTACATTTAAAATGCTGATTAATCTAACAGGGGTACAGAAGTCTATTTTATAAAGGGTAGGGTTCTTCTTAGAGCAATATTTGTGTTCATATCAATCAATGTGTAGACAGTAGTTTGCTTCTTCTTATTTGGTCTTTTGTTTAACTTCTATTGATATTAAAATTAGTCTTCTCCCTTCACCATTAACTTCCACACCAAAGGGTGTTTTGGTTAGAGATAGGTGTGGTGCATTTTCTGATCAGATTGAATTTTGAGTTTTCAACCGGCTGGTTGGTCAGTTTGTGTATATAGAAATCTAGTAGTATTAAACTACAGTGTTCCCCTGCTTCTCACTGCTGTGTGATGATTTTGTATTAAATCTGTTTCTGGCGGTTAATGGGGATTGTAATAAAAAACATTACAGAAGCGGAGTGCACTGAATTTCTGATGACTTTATTAGCATAATGGACCAAAACAACATTCATAAAATGAAGTAGAACAAAAAACAAAAAGAAATCTCTCTTTAAGTATAAATTAGAAGATAGCATCTGTTAACTTCTTCTGTTTTGCTGTATTTTTGCCTGATTCCCTCAGTAAGAGCTGCTCCAGAATATTCAGTGGTGTGAATGAATATTCCTGATTTCATGTTTTTATGCTGTTTTGTCACAGATAGGTGTTAATTTCTTTGGATTTCTTCCTGATGTGTTGCTTTTGTGGATCTTTTGGTGTACTTCACTTCGTCATCCAGGTCGTATTTAAATGTCTTTGTTGAGAACCGGTGTGGCAGTAATCAGGCTCATCTGTGGCGAGAGACACTGAACTCAGGTGTGCTAAGTCACTGCTAAGTTGTTTTTGAGGATTTGTTTTCTTCCTTAATAATAAACGTCTTAATTTAAAAACTGCATTTTGTGTTTACTTTGACTAATATTTAAATGTGTTTGATGTTCTAGAAGACTTTAAGTGTGACAAACATGCAAAAAAAAGAGAAGAAAATAAGGAAGGGGGTAAACACTTTTTCACACCACTGTATGTGTATATTACTCTCCTGCTGTCTGTGTTTGTCTCCTCAGCCCAGGGCGCTCTCCATCCTGCTATGACAATGAAATTGTGATGATGAACCATGTCTACAAGGAACGCTTCCCCAAGGTCAGGCTCACACAAACCTTACCCAAACACACACACACACACATGCATTCATTTAACACACAGCGCAATGGTCAAGTCTTACCTGCAGATAAAACATCTCTTCTTTTTTTTTTAACAGGAATAATGCCTTTCAAGAACGCAGATACCAATTATTTTAGCAAGAAACAACAGATTCCATCTTAAAAATCTTTCAAGAAAACACATTTAAGATTTTTTTTTTGTCTTAGGGATGCCATACAGTCACAACTCATTCAGTAGAAAGTTGTGGGGTTACAGTAGAATAGTAGATAAAATGCAGAATAACAGACAACTCAGTATAAAACACCTTTTATCCATTTCAGGTGTTAAATGATCGGTTAATTTGTTTACATTATAAGCTTGACTTTAGTTGAGAATGAGCTAATTTGACCTCAAGATGAAAAGCAGAATAACGTCTCACAGGCTGTGCTGATGTATTTCCAGTGCTACTGCACACAGCTGCTGCTGTTTATGTTGCCCACATGAGTCATTTACAACATTCAGCAACAAGCCGCCACTGCAGTGAGTTCTCTATCATCATTATCAAACAGCAGAAAGTGTGCAAGTGATTATTTTATAAAGCTCACAGTAAAGTGATTATTTGTTACAACGTTGACCAAAAAGAAAAGACAATCAGTAAAATCCTGCCTCCAACAGGAAGCATAAAAAGAGCTCAGTTTATGTATACATTTAAATATATTTACTTCAGACTTTTAAATAAATGTGATATTCCTAATGACATACATTGTAGAAGCATCTAGGGAACGATGGGAAAAATGAGAAGCAGTTTCTGAATCCTTGGTTTAAACATTGTTGCCATTTTTATTGCAGCTGGATGAGACAGAATAATGCAATGCATGTTTACATAGTGAGCTTAAGATTAAAGTCCTTCACACGTCTTTGTTTCTCATCCCAGAAGCTTCTTAAGTTAGTCAGCTGTAGAAAATATTGCAGGTAATTATGTAAATCAGGTATGTTGAGGCATAGAAGGTCTAAAACATGCAGTGTTGAAAGCTTTGAGCACTAAACACTGCTTTCAATGGTAATTGCTCACCTTAAATTTGACAGTATTCAGGTTTGGGTTCTTCAGACTGAGTTCCAAATCCAATCAAGATTCTGTCCTAATTCATCTTGGAATATTATCTGTCCTGTAAATGCCACTAGATCTCACATTAGTGTCTCCTTTAAAGCTCAGTCAAATGCTTACGTTCTCATACCTTCACTGTTTATTTATAGAGAACCCTTGTGAATACTTGCATTCAGCTGACCTCCACTGAAGTGCAGAGCACACTGCAAGAACAAAGAGAGAAGTATTGATATTTTCTGAGGACTTTTGTGAAAAGGGGATCCTAAGATGCTCAGTCAATCAAACTCTTTTGGTTGCTGTTCAAAAGCCTTTCACAGCTGAGGGAGCAGACAAGCTCGAGACATGCGTCCTCGTTTCTGTTTCCATCAGAGACTTGGACATGACTTCAGTTTGTTCTTCAAACACAAGAGTACCTAGACTGGCAGAGGAACAGCCAATATTAATATAATTTATGTTTCATGTGGTCATGATAAAAAGAAAGTCTTTTTACTAATTGTTTGACCATATGCTGAAGCTGCAATGAAAATATTCTGCTCTGAATCTGTACAAAAACATAAAACATATTAAACAGTGTCATAATTACTGAAAGGAAATGAAGTCACAATGTGTATTTGTCTAAAAATGTCATTAGATATCCTTATTCAGTTGCTTGTAGACTCATATTTTTCAGCACAAACATGACTTCCTGCCTGACTTTAACTCTTACTTGTCTCTCGAATTTTGACTTGAACGTCTGTATTTCACATAGAGTTGTGAGGATTTGCTCATTAAAACGCACGCCGTGCAACAACTGTCATGGAATATACTTTAATAGAAGAATCTTCTACTTCTAAATCATTTACAGAAGTGTGCAGTCAAGGTTCTGTCGCTTTGTAGTCTAACTCATCACACATGTCCCCACGAAGGCCACAGCTCAGATGGAGGAGAGGTTGGCAGAGTTCGTCCAGAACTACTCTCCAGAGAACGTGCTGCCGCTGGCCGACGGGGTCCTCAGTTTCATCCACCACCAGGTCGCTGAGATGTCCAGAGACTGCCTGACCAAATCACACGAGGGGCTGATTACAAGCGTTTACTTCCGAGAGCTGCAGGAGAATCTGGAGAAGCTGTTGCACGATGTGAGTTACGTGTGAATCATGAAGATGGAGATAATTGTTGACTTCGTACCTCACCTAACGTCACCCTGTCTTTCTTTGCCAGGCGTATGAGCGCTCAGAGAGTTCAGAGCTCACCTTTGTCACTGAGCTTGTCAAAAAGCTCTTCATCATCATATCTCGTCCTGCCAGGCTGCTGGAGTGTTTGGCAAGTTCCCTCTGACCATATATATGTTCCTTTTAATCAGTTTGATTAGTTGGTAAGAAAAAAAAAAAAAGTGTTACGAATTTACAGGGATTTGTTAATGTTAAGATGAAAAAATAAAAATCATTAGTAATAATCAATGCTTCCTGTTATCTGCTGAAAGTGCTGCTCTTTTATTCCCTTGCAATAAACCCCTCAAGCAAACAGTGGAGAAACTGTTTAGTTTGAAATAGTTTCTTACATCTGCAAGAAATTTCAACCCTTGGTAAAACCGCCGGTTTAGATTTCCTGACAAAGCATCTTTACGCTCACTCTGCATATCAGTTTCTTATTAGAATTACGTAAATTATAACAGGCCTAATAAGCTTTTTCCTGGGTAAAAGCACTAAACAGTTCATTAGCTGAACATCGTCACATGTTATCTGTAGCAATTCTTCAGTTGTGATACTCATTTTGCATGTGTCGTTGCATTTTGAACTAGATTCCAGTGTTTATTTGTCGCTTTTCATTAAATAGCAGTATTTTCATCGTATGATATGTTGGGAACATATAAATGTGTTGTACTATGCGGTAGAGGTCAGGGTCTTGTTAAAACTGTGTCATTCGGTGTATCACAAACGCTCCGCTGCCGCAGTATATATACTTAATCCTCCAGGATTTTTTTTTTTTTTACTTATCTGCAAACTGTGAAGATATATGGAAATTGGAATATTCCTTCCTCCTGTACCTGGCTGTCCTCTCAGAATCAAATCTGCCCTGTTAGATGGAGCCATGTCCTTGGCATGCTGATGCATATTTCGCCTGAAATTATCTAGGAATAACACCAGTTGTTGTGCACATATAAGGTCTAACCACACCTGCATGCATATCTGCTCGCTGATTGATGGCCTCCACTGTTCATCAGCAAAGGGGCCTGGCTCCTAAACCCTCCGGCTCATCTTTCCGTTGTCAGGGCAACCGTCAGGAGAGGTCGATAGGGTCAGTCAGGATGTGGCGGGGACTTCAGATCCTCATGGCTCCGAGGTTGGAAAGGAGAATACTTGCACTGATAAAATGTTGTCCCTGGCTGTGGAGTTCATTTAGCATTCAGGTCAGTTACAAACTCTGATTTGTTGAAAATGTCACACAGTGAGTACGCTGCTAGCTGCCGGAATATTATCCCCCAGCAGAGGAAGTGATCAGAAAACCAGGTTAATTCCTTCTCCTCTGGACTGGAGGAGCAAAGATGAGAAAGTGTGGACGGAAATGATCCAACCTGCCGTCGGCTTTCCAATCAAAATGTTTTCCGTGCAACAAGAATGAAACTGAGTCCCACAAAAAAGGCGTTCCAGTTGAAAAAGGGAGGATTTTGACAAGAAAAAGGGAGCAATTTAAAGTGTACAGGAGTGCTAATTGCTGATTGTGTTTTCTCATGTAGTAGAACGGTTATGTTTCCACAACTCTAGTGCATTCTTTTAAATGAGCAAAAATATGACTTGTATGATGTTCTTCCATCCTTCCTCCTTGTGTACGTTTTCGTTCTTTCAGTTCTTACTGTTACTGGCACTTCCACAATATTTTAAACCTCTTCTAGAAATGTCTTCATCGCATTTATAGCTTTAGTTTCTTATACTTAAAGATGAATGTAAACAACTGTAAACTCTGTAAAACCTAAAAATATGGGTTAGGGTTCTTGCTCTTAGGGTTGGTTCTTCAAATAAATGCTCAACTAGTTTCTGTCTTTCTGTCATGAATACATCTGTGTATTTACTGTTTATATTGATTTCTCTTCAACATTTATCCATCCAATGACAGGAGTTCAATCCAGAAGAGTTTTACCATCTGCTGGAGGCTGCAGAGGATCACGCCAAAGAGGGGCAACTAATGAAAGCTGACATCCCCAGATATATCATCAGTCAACTGGGACTGACCCGAGATCCTTTAGAAGGTAAAAGAAAGAACAAATACTTTTCGTACAATGTTCTGCCTGAAGCAATGCACACAGAATTTTTATTTTTTATTATTATTTTTTTTCAGTTTGGAGACAGGCTTTAATAGTTTCAATTTATTTCCTGAAGTTAAATCCAAGGATCAATGCCACTCTTTTAGGTGCTCAGCTTTATCCTTGAGATGAGCAAATAATTCACCATAAACACTTAAAATTGTTGGAAAGGTGAAGGAAATGCACCATGAAGCTCAACTCGCAGTAAAAAGCACCAGAGGGTGAAAAGCTCACTTGTTATCAGTGAGTGTACAGACCACAATAAGAAACGTGGTACATTTGGGGTGAGATAAAGGCAGATTATCTGTTTTAGTGATTTCTGCAGGGAGCAGCTCCATTCTGTATCATGCTGAATGTTTGATAGCCAGATTTCTTCATGGTTTATATCTGGGAACTGAGATGATCGTTTTAAATAGTTTAATTTTGTGTATTGGAAAAAAGTTTTGCATCAGTATTTTGCTGAAAGATCTGCTGACAGTCCAGTCTCCAGATCATTCATTTGAAATCTCCTGATGTTTCAACTCTGATGAACTTAAAAAGCAAAATATGCATTAACAAAATGCTTCATTTCATTTGAAGAGGTTGTTAGGGGAAATAACTGATAAAAACAGTTATTACCTAAAATTATATTTTTTCACCACTAAATAAATTTACTCAATTTAATGGTTGTATTGAAAAAGAAAATTCGGAATGAGATTGCATAATTATGTTTTGAATAGGACTGTCTGTTTTAACAGTAACATTTTCTGGGTAATAGTGTGTAAACTTTGCTCTCTCTTACATTTCTGGTGAGTTAGTTTGAGCCCTCGCCACATTTGAGCCCTGTCCATTTCTGGTGAACTGCTCCTTTTGTAGCCCTTTAGGAGCTTTAATGGTTTAATGTGACAGAATAACTCACTAAGAAATAACCACATGCTTTTATTTCTGACTGGGTGAGACACTTTATTTTAATTAATCTCTGTTAACAATGTGCCACTTGATGTCTTATCCTGCACAGCCCTTAGCACCTACATTGTCACGCACAAGCATGCATGCACACCCACATAGCCGCTTGCATGTTCTTACTTTCACACCATTGTTTCTTCTCTTGGTTTCTTAGCGACGAATGACAAGTCTTTCAGTCTGAAACAGAAAACTCACTAATTACATGATTTTCTCCTCTGCGACTTTTATCTGCAATCAATTTATTAACCACAGCGAAGCGTTGTCGGGGCTTTGGAAACTAAATTCTCATTCAATTATTTCTCTGCCACGTCAAAACTGTGGCACAATCGGAGGATTTAGACAGCTGACACACAGAAAATGAAGGAACGTTAACCGTTAGTTGGCAGCGCTGCCGATGAGGAGGGAGAATAAAACAAGGAGGAAGGAGAGCTGAAGAAAATAGCACCACTTAAAAGGAGGACATTTTGGTTGCCAAAACAGTGGGATGTATGTGGCTTCTTATCATTATAACACCGCTTTTGTTTGAAACAAACTTGTTTCTCTACAGAAATTGTGAGTCTTGACAGCTATGACAGTGAGGGTCCACACACTCCAGAGACGGATGACTCAGCAGAGGTGAGGAACTCACAAACAAACATCCACCCAACGCTCCTGTTTCACATCAGCAGTCACACACATTTCACATGAACGTCCCTACAGACTAGCATAAAAACTTGGACAGTCGGCTGTTGCAAAAGAAATTGCTTACGTTACTGTTTGAGTTGTGATTTCAAGTCGTTGGATGTTCCCAGGGAAAAGGCAAATCCATCAAGCCACCCTGTGAGGAAGACTTTCAGACCATCAAACTGATAAGCAATGGAGCTTATGGGTAAGTAAAGGATTTGTACCTCTTTGAGTCTGCACAGAAAGGATGTCACATCTGCTTAAGCTATGTAAAGTCTTTAGGGGATAAAATCTGGAGAGTTTTTAAAAGCTTTAAAAAGCCAGTTTTTAAAGGTATAAAGACGAGATTAATAATCTTTTTTTCTACCTCTAATGTGGCATATTGTTTACTTTTTAGAAGGAAAATTAATTAAACTGTTGGAGGGTGACATACAAATGTTAATGAAAAAGCTGCCATAAGGCTACTTCAGGTGACTCCAAGCATTTCCTGTCGGATTTAGTTTAGTTTTGTGTTTAACATTTTTCTATTGAAGTCAGTCATTTGGTGATATGAATGGGTGGGTAAAGTTTTGCTTAGGTGAAGTTGTTGTTTTTAAACATAATATATGTTTTGAAATTATGGAGAAAAAAAAAGATGTAGCTTGATTTATTGGAAGATTATAACACATTGTTCGGGGAAGATTTTAGGAGAACACAACCAGCGGTAGTTGGGAACTCATGCAACTATTTCAGTGTTTGTCTCTTGGCAGTCTTTGCTGACCTTTTTCTAGCTCATCTTTCCTCCTCTGACATACATTATGCAGTGATTTTTTTTGTGCCCTTCTGCTGCCTTCATAAAATGGTATCCATTTATTTGTAACTTCTGTACAAACTGTGACTTTTACATATCGGCAAATGTTAGGAAAAACCTACAGATGAACTTTTTAAAGGATTTGATTTTACTTAAGGCTGAATGTTGAAATTGAATCAAAAAAGTGTTTTAACAAAGTAACAATCTAATGCACACATATATGCAACCGGCTTATTGCAGTGTTTCTTTTTCATTAAACTTCTCTAAGTTTATTTATTTTTTCTTTTTCAGCTTAACTGTTGAATAATGCAAGATATCACTGTTAATGTTGAAAATGATTTATCGCTTTACTACAGCAGAAACTAGAGGATTCAGTACGAGTGTATTCACTTTTTAGTTCCCATCTAAAGCTAAACATAATTGGGAATATTATCATTAGAGCATTTTTGTAAAAATCTATTTAAAATAGGATTTTAGAAAAAAGACAAAAAATATATACAAATCAGTTCCACATTTTAAATATTAAAATGACAAATATTTTGGTCAATCATCGATAATAGAACACTTTATAGTTGGGTAACAAAAATCCAGATGATCTATGCTTCTCAGCCCTGCTGAGTTTGTTATACTTCACATTCTGTTTAGCCAAAATGAAGATAACTACTTTTAGATTGCTAAATATTTAATATATTTTAACAGCTGAAATGTCACAAGCCAATATTTCCCAAACTAAAAACAGAAACTCCTAAGATAAAAGGTTTTTCGGTATCCCAGTTCTTTCTGCTCCTAATTGTGTGGAGCTATGATATTCTACAGGTAGAAATAATAGTGTCTTTATTAAACCTAAAGTACCACTAAGTCTGTGGATTTGCATATTTTTAATTCAGTTATGTCTGTCAGTGTCTGAGTGATATGTGAGACGAAACATTTTTGGCATGGCAATTTTTTTTAAATCTTGCCCTCCTTTGCTCTATCAATATTTAAAAGAGCAGGAAGTCAAAACCCATGGGATTTAGATTGGACACATTTTATTGGGTTCATGTCAGGCATCTGTTCAGGGAATGGCTTTTTCATTTATTTGAAAGTATGTTACATAATTTTAAATGGATTCAGGAAATAATATGCCCGTAGGGATTTAAACTAATGAATAACATATAGTGTCATTTTTATCTTGACCTGCACAAGCTGCTGCATGATAAAAGCTGCCTCAGGTGGCTCAGGGAGCAAGAACAGCGCTGTCTCTGCAAAGCCTGCAGTAGACAGGAAACATATGTGTCATGGTTGAGGTAGGGATCCAAGTGCAGAGACGTAGTATAGCTGGTAAGACAGAAAACTTTAATAAAAAAAACAAGAAATTGCAGAGAAAAAAAAGAGCAGAGACAGCAGGTCAAAGAGCGTAATGAACAAAAGAATCGAGAAACGAGCAATGAAAGACCAGGAGCTTAAATACTGAGGCAGGGATAGAAAGTGACTGATTAACAAGCAAAACTGCAGGGAAACAGAGGAGGAAGACTAATTAATATAAAGTGAGTTGAACTAAGACTCAAAGGACCTATAAACCAAAATGGAAAGACCTGTCGGTAATCTAAGAGAAATAAATTTAAATGCACAAAGAACAGAACAAAAGTATAAACTATGAAACTCAGTAATGAACATGTTACTGTGTTCATTACTGTTGTTGAATAAGGGAAAACCTAAAGCACAAAAATAAACAAGCAAATTATTAAAAACCCAAAACAAAAGCAAAACACCCCAGTATCATGACAATATGCACACAGGAAAGTTGCTTGTGTTGTATATTCTAAGATTAAAAACTATTTTCTGTCTTGCTCCTCTTCCCTTGTTCTCCGCTCCTCTTTGCAGTGCCGTCTACCTGGTGCGGCACAGGGAGACACGTCAGCGATTTGCCATGAAGAAGATCAACAAGCAGAATCTGATACTAAGGAACCAGATCCAGCAAGCATTTGTGGAGAGGGACATCCTCACCTTCGCAGAGAACCCCTTCGTTGTGTCCATGTTCTGTTCCTTCGAAACGCGCCGCCATCTCTGCATGGTCATGGAGTACGTGGAAGGTAACTGGATCAGAGCTGGTTTATGTCAGATACACAGTTTTTGTGGTTTACTTCTGAACTTCTGAGCTCTCATTAATTAAAGCCAAATGTCGTCAACTGGACCGAATCCTTGATCTCCCTCACAAATCACTCCGGAAAACTTCAAACGGTCCAGAATCGGCTGCCTGTATCATTACTAAAGCCCCCTCATTTTCTCACATCACCCCAGTTTTGCAGCATCTTCACTGGCTTCTGGTCATGTTCAGAATCCAATTTAAAATACCGCTGAACACCTTCAAAGCCGTCCATAACATCTCCCCTCTTTATCTGTCCGATCTCCTGCGCATCACTGCTCTTTCACGCTCCCTTTGCTCTTCCTCTTCTATCCACCCCACTGTTTCCTCTGACTCTCTCAGCACCATGGGAACTCTGCAACTCTCTATCTGCAGATATTCTCAATATACTCCCTGTAATTTTAAATCATAACTCAAAACACATCTAATCAGGTTGGCCTTTTCATTGTGATCTCTTGTCAGTGTCTTGTTTTTTTCTGTCTTTTGTTTGTCGTTTCTTTTTCTTGTGTATTTTTTTTCTTGTAAATGGTCTTAGCTGTCTTGTAAGGCTCTAACAAATAAAATGCTTATTGTTATCATTAAAAATGCCATATAGATTCAGTCTTTTGGATTTGTGGATTGAGCCTAAACTGTTTTTCTGTAACAAAATGATAAAAGTCACTGTGGTTTAAAAAAGCTGCTTGTTTTTTCTCAGGAGGTGACTGTGCCACTTTGCTGAAGAACATCGGCGCTCTGCCTGTAGAGCTAGCGAGGATGTACTTTGCTGAAACCGTTTTGGCCTTGGAGTATCTGCATAATTATGGTATTGTTCACAGAGACCTGAAACCTGACAAGTGAGTTCTTCATACTAAAGTAATGACTTTCTTTAAATTTGTGTTTTCATGTCCTTCGTGTTTTAAAGGTTATCCACCGGCTTTTAATAGCTGGCTGAGAAGTGAATTAAAGTTTAATGTCGATGTTTACATATAGGTGGCCATTGTGACTGATAATTTTAAAGACAACCCTTTAATTTTTTTTGTTACTTAGGGAAAAGCAGTAGCTAAAACCCAAAAGAAAAGTTGAAGCAGTGAACAGGGCAATATCCAAACATTTACATTTATAAAATTAATGGCACATCAAGAAAGTTTATTTTCCATTTCTCAACAGCGTTAATGCCTTTCTCCTGTTTCCTTGCAGTTTATTGATCACTTCCATGGGTCACATAAAGCTGACAGACTTTGGTTTGTCAAAGATGGGTCTAATGAGCCTCACCACCAACCTGTATGAAGGACACATCGAGAAAGACGCTCGGGAATTCCTTGACAAACAGGTACAATCAGAAAAACCCCTTATTTGAACATTTATTTAAAAGCTTCTCTCACACCGTTTCCTATCTTTCAACATATTTTTTCTACATGTGTTTCACATGAGCCTAAATATGAGGAACGTCAAGCCCTGTCCTATCTATGAAGATAATGTGTATTCCTTATAAAGTTGTCAAAATACTCAAATTTCAAACTTGATGCCGATCCGTAGAAAAATCCTTCATACTGAACACCATTTTTAAAACTATGGCAATGTTTTTATTTATTTATTTTTTTTTTTGCAAATCAAAGGGTTCTTTGTAGATAAGAACAAAGTATGATTAATTACTATGTACAATACAACTGCAACATTTCTGCCAACAGTGAAGACAAAACAATGAGCACACAGCAAGACCTGAATGTGGATGAATGTGGTGGAAAATAATGAGGACATCTGGTGCCACAAGCACATTATTCCCAAAAAGTGACACTTGCTCTATTATGTTGTAATTTCTTCAAACACTCAGCATGTCGACGTAAAACAAACACCACATCCAAGCCATACTAGAAATTGTGTTGAATTAAACTGACGGGAGTTAATGGGTCATTGTCACAAATTAGTATTTCAATACTTCAGTGGTTTTTATAAGTAGTATCTGAAATTACACTTGTGCGAACAGTCACTCTGTCTGCTTTGGGAAGGTTTTGCAGGACAAACCCAGTTTAAAGGAATCCAAACTTTTATTGTTTGTATGTAATATAATCTTTGTCATTGGAACTGAAATATTTTTTTAAGGTATGTGTTTTGTTGCTTCTGCTATACTAAACTAGCATTAATGCACTGCACCTTCAAATTATTTTTGGTATTTTGTGCGTTTTTGTGTTTGTACCTTTAAAAAAAAACTATATAAAGTTATCTATGTGAAGCTCGGTATGTTGTCTGTCTCATGTTTACTGTGTTTTTTTTTTTGGTTTTTTTTTTTGCCTGCATCCTTCAGATTGTGCAAAAGATGAGATGTCCAGATGTTGCTTAGCAATTTAAAACATATTTTATCCCTTCCAGTCATTCATGGAAACTTGCCAAGTCATCTTCCTAAAAGCAGTAAGCTCTTAAAACCTGCTACACAATGCCTCCTGTCGAGTTGCCGATACTGAATCATTTATGCTCTCCAGTTCCGTCACAAATCAATTTTGCAATCAAATTTATTTAGTCTGTAAATTAAACTGTAATCAGTCATTCAGGCTGCATGGATTCTACAGGCGCCTGTTAGTCTGCCAGTAATCATCTCATATTTGTGGCTAGCACAGACCACTAATTTGCTTTTTAAGTTTTTAATGGAGTCCCTTATTGAAGGGAAATGCCTCATTCAGTCGGCAGCAATGCTTGTCTTTATAAGACGGTGGGCACAAGTAGAAGCACTTACACCCTCACACAAGAGCATGCATTTATTACTCGGCAACAGATAGTCTAAAATTGCACATTGATGAATAGCGTATGCTAAGTATGGCTTCAGAGTGCAACCATGAACATTTAAACACATCACAAGTGACTCGCTGAATGTCAGAGGACACCATGGCACCATTTTAATCCAATAAAGTGTCCTTATTTTCACAACATTGTCATCAGGTCCCAAAAAAAAAAACAAAAAAACTCCTCAATATATTTCAGTAGACGAGTCTTTTCCGGCTAGTCAGCCACTGTTGTGGTCATGTATGGTTTTTCCACACGCTGACGCCTCAGTTTACTAAATGAGTAAATTGTTAAATCGCTAGTATGTCTTGTTTATTCAGACTTCAATTATCAAATCCAATAAACAACAACCCACAAGAGTCAATAGCAGAATGAGCTATTTGGCATTGGCAGAGTGGTTTTGCCAAGCTTTTCCTGTGAACAACCCACACACTCAGCTCAGTTGCTAAACGCACCAGTGCATTCTCCTTACTAATGTGGCACCATTTAAAGGGAAACAAACAGACTTTCCAACGATATGTTATTGCCCAGAAGTATTGGTACAAAAAAGAAACAATAAACTAAACACAAATTTCCTTAGTTTTCATGCTAAGTTTACATGGATAATACAAGTATTTTTGGTGGAAAAAAATAAGAAACTGCTGTTCCCAGAGGTAACATTAGTTATCTCCCATGGCCAGATTCTGCTTTTGTCTGCAGAACAGAGATGCATCTTTATTAAAAGCTGCTGGAATTGATTAAAATCCCGTTTACATAAAAAAAAAGAAAAAGGAAAACAACAGGAAAACATTTTTATTTGTAAGTAAGCTCCAAACTTTCTAGATATCAATTAGGATTTTTATTTATTTATTTTTGTTATTTTTCCCTCCAGTGTCTGTTTTGAATGTTGCATTATTTTTTCCAGCTTCAGCTAAAATTGTAGACCACTAGAGATGTTTTTTTTTCCTGCCATTTGTGTAACGAGGTGTCCCTGGGTTAGATGCCGAACTATTATTCATGTTTCAGAATAATAATTCGCACTCCTGACAGTGGAACATCTCTTTTGAAATGCAGTGATTCATTTTTATCTGTTTGACTCCCCTTGACGAAGAAAACATTTCAAAGGTTTTATTGATCTTAATGGCATGGGAATAAAGGTATTTTAACAAGTTTCAAAAAGAGAGAACATCTGAGTTCTTTTGACATTAAGGTTTATGTCTATTCCAAAAAAAATACATAAAACCATGTTTGCCTCCTTAAATATTTTTTCTTTATGCTTTATGTTTGTCAAAAAAATATGTGTCCCATCTTTTGTTGTATTGCCTTGGCTTTGGGATATGATGTGTTGCTTTTTTAGATCATTTAGCTGATATTATAATTTTTTTAAGGGATTCCTTGTCTTGCCAAAATAACACCCAAAAATATTGTTAGGACAGGAGTCACAGCTGAAATCGCGCTTTAACAAACTCTATGATTTCCCACTGGGCCCACTTTTGTCTCTTAATAAAATAAATCATGACTTAGAAACTTCTTCTTGTGTTGACTCAGGTTCTCTTCGTCTGATATTCACATTTGTTTGATAATCTGAAACATTTAATTGTGACCGAAAAGCAAAAGAAGAAATCTGTTAGGTGTTAAGTTTTGTTTTTTTTTCTCACACTATAGAGCCTAATTTCAAAATCAGCACTGGATCCACCAAACCCTCCTACACAAAAAAAAAATGTGTTTATTGGATAAATTACTTTCAGAGTGAGTCAGATGGAGTTTAATTCAGTTTAAAGTAACATTTGCTTATTGACTGATGCATCAACTTCTCAGGCACTTTTTCTATAAAGAAATGAATACAATTTATTTTGACTCTCACGTGATAAAAATAAATTGAATATATCCCAGCGTGTCATTGAGCCTTCATGTAGGAATTCCTCTTTTCAGTAGGTTCTCAGTATTTATCTGTGTCATTGTGTTACGTTGTAGCCTGGAAACTGTTAATTGATGTCACACTGGTGTCTGGAAAGCTTCTCTAGCAACAAAGCTCAGTGTTTCCCCACTGGCAGAGATTTCAGCAAACTTCCACAACCTTCACTTGAGCTTGTTTGAAGTTTGGATGATCTAGCCGGGGCTTTAGAGCATTTCATGACATGCACAATAAGAGCTTACATGATTAAAAATCTTTCTATTACACTCTTGCTCTTTACACTCTCTCCATCACTTCCAGGTCTGTGGGACTCCTGAGTACATCGCTCCTGAGGTGATTCTCCGTCAAGGTTATGGGAAACCTGTGGATTGGTGGGCCATGGGCATCATCCTCTACGAGTTCTTGGTGGGATGTGTGCCTTTCTTTGGAGACACTCCTGAAGAGCTGTTTGGACAGGTCATCACTGGTGAGAAACCCAAATTCATTTGGTCTTCAAGTGATTTATCAGACTAACATTTTTAACCCTTGCCCTGTGTTTGCTGTCTGTTGTAGATGACATAGTTTGGCCAGATGGTGACGACGCTTTGCCTGCAGACGCTCAGGCCCTGATCTCTGCTCTGTTACAGACTAACCCTCTTTTAAGGCTGGGCACAGGTACATGCATTTACTGTGATATTGTGTCTGTCTGTATTTAGAGCCAAGTTACAGATTATATAGAATTAATTTTGTGTTGAATAACAATTGTGAGCATTATGCATTTTTGATTTTTTTTTTTTAGAACACATAAAACCTAAATCTCTTAGTCTGTACAAATGTAACTTAAACTTAGCAAATGAAAAGCTGTTTGTAGGTGAAGCAGATGCCATTCATGGCCAATGGTTGTACACTTTTTCAAGAAAAAAAGTATTTTTTTAAAGAGTATGGGAAAGTGTTTAATTTCATTTAAGCATTTTCAAAAATCTGGATAAGTTTAAAAGGAAAACTTAGTATAAATAAATGTTTAAATATACAGACATTATTCTGTATACTGATAGGAAATCAGTATACAAAAATTGAAGTTTAGACTTCATTGGTTTATACGGTACAACAATGCTTACAGCTGCCTTTGAGATGCCCTCAGCTTGTACTCCACAAATGTTTAATTTCAATAAATCAAACTTTCTTTTAGTTAGATTATTTTATTTATTGTTGTTGCAACAAGTACTCCTATTAAAGTAAGACTGTTTTTAATTGGGATTACTGCCTGAGAACCCTGTAATTGCCAAATAGGTAATCACTTTAAATTAATCCCTTACAATGTCTAACTGTTATTATGTTTTTAAATTATCAGTATACCAGATAATATAGGATAAACTACAAATAAGAATGAACAAATCAAAATATTTTTGTCAGATTTTTGCCTATTACATTAGATTACTAGAAGACAGTCATTTGTTGCCTCTGTTTCGGCCTCCAGGTGGAGCATTTGAGGTGAAGCAGCACGCTTTTTTCTCTGCGCTGGACTGGAACAGTTTGTTGAGACAGAAAGCAGAATTTGTCCCCCACCTGGAGTCTGAGGAAGACACCAGCTACTTTGATAGTATGTGCACTTTGTGTCTCTGAATTAACATACCTAAAAACATGAGTAACTGCATTAGGGACAGGTTTAGGTTATGATCTGACACCATTAAAGTCACAGCTCCCCTGTCTCTCATTTTCCTGTTTTCCAGCCCGTTCAGATCGTTACCACCACATCAACACGTACGATGAGGATGACACCAATGACGATGAGCCTGTGGAGATCAGACAGTTCTCCTCTTGTTCTCCTCGCTTCAGTAAGGTACACCTCTTCCTTTTTCTTACCCTTTGTTGTGTTTCCATCTATGCTTTTTTTTCTTCCCCTCTCTGTGTCAACACATCATACCTTCTTTGCACTTGAGATTACATGACAGGGGTTGATGAGGAAGGGGGAAAAAGTGGGTCAGACTGCACCAAGAGGCTCCACAAGGCTGAGCCTGGTTTCATACCTGGTGTTAATAAGGTCTGTGTGGACACTATGTATGCTGCTTTCACCGGTCTCCAATTTCTACTGAAGGTCCAAAAGATTTAAACACCTTTTCAATATATTTTCAAAGTGTCTGTGCTCCTTTTTACATTTTGTCATGTTACAACCCACAAACTGTAATGAATTTTAGAAATTTTTGTGATAAACTAATAGAAAACAGTGTATAAATGTAAACCCTCCCGTAATTTTAGTGCAGTGCTAAGGAGGAGTGCGGCAAATGTCACGATCAGACAGAGGGGAACTGTGGGAGGTTGTCCCGTTAGACCGTCAGTTCCCAAAACCAAAAAGAAGAAAAAAACTCAGAAATCTTGTTCTGGTTCACCGTAAGTGTCCAGCCCAATGCAAATCAAAACATAAAATGGAAGTAATATTGATCATGACATAATCAAGACCAAGGAACTCTGTAGACAGATAAAGTTGTGAAGAAAGTTAAAGCAAAGTTAGATCAGAAGATTTGAATATCTCATGAACTTTTCAGTTTATTCTCTGAAACAGGAAAGAATGCAACACAACTGTAAACAAACCAAAACACTTAAACTTGGTAGGTTTGCAGCTGTTTACAGATAATGGGCTGAATGTTTCCTAACAAACCTGTGAGGCCTTCGTTCCACACAGATGGGCTCTATTTACTTATTTGGCATCTCGTGAAGGAAATTGGTTACACTAGATTTTATTTACAAATAAATGCTCACCATTTTTTTATTGCAAAGAATGTTAGAGACCAGGAATGCTTTTGCTTCCTTTACAGCTATACTCTACTTTGTGGTAGTCTGTCACATAAAGCCCAGAGAAAATATATTGGAGTTTGTGGCTAAAACACAACAAAAAGGGAACATAAAGTACTGTATGTGACTGTTAACATTGTTGTTTTTCCTTCTGAGAAGACAGCTGGGTCTTCAGCCATTGCTTGTTTCCATGGTGCACTCCTGCAGCTCGTCCCATTGTCCTCCCCCACAGACTGTTACTCTGCACATAATGAGAGCCTTACAAGCCATGACAAACAAAAAATGTGACCAAGATTAAACCCCAAGTTAAAATTGGTACTCTAATTATTTGCCACAGTTACATAGTGTAATCAGCTTTACAACATGGTTTGAAAGAAAACAGAATCACTGCTTGATGTATTCCACATAAACCTCTAATTACTAATCGTGGCCTAGCAGATGACAGGGGCAGTGAAACTCTTGGCAGAAATTTAGGCATTTGGCTCCATGCTGCTTGTAGCTAAAGGGTATGTCTGTTCATCAGTTGCTTAAAATATTTGAGTCACATTCTGTTTTTTTTTTACCAAAGTTTTCTAAACGACCTCAAAAGTCTGGGCAAAAACTGTCTCGCTGTGTTTATTGAAGGATCAAGATGCAGTTTGGCTGGTGGGAACAAGCAGTTATTCAAATCCTAAGAAAAAAGCACAATGCAGAACTGATTTCAATAACCTAACTGAGGAGAATGAAAATATACAGATTTCGTATTATTTACTTTAATACATAAATAAGGGGTAATCAACTGGGAAGCAGGGAGCAACTACTGGAAGCAAAGCAATTAGGAAGACAGAGACAAGGATAGACCTTGAAAAGACTTGTCAATTTACAGCTTCTCAAAAGTATTCATTCCCCCGCAGATTGTGTCACACTGCAACCACAAACTACAATGTTTTTCATTGATCATAACTGATAGGCTACTACAAAGTAGTGCCTAATTTTGGAGTGGAGGGGAATGAAATGGGAATGAAGAGTCAAAACATTTCTCTGCCCAATTTACTTCATTTAGAGGTAAATCTGCTTTCCAGGAACTGCCAAGCACGTCCATACACCATTGTGTTGCCAGAGTTATATCTGCATTCAGAATGATGTACAGTGTTAGTTTTCGGCCAAACAAACTATCTGCATATGAGCCAAAAATTTAAAATAAAAAAATTGACTTGCTCATCTTCTTTCGCATATTTACTGTCTGCTACACGGCTTGTAACAAACTGCAAACAATGCTTGTTTATGGATAACAGGGTGGATTATTTACGGTTTTATCAGGATTGTCTGGATTTATTTCTTGGTCTCAGAATGAACCCTCAGAACACATTCATTTTTATTTGTTCGGTTACGCATCACTTTGTGTTTGCCTTTTATATACAATCCTGATGCAACAAATCACCATTTGTGGTTGTAAAATGGCAAAGTGGGATACGGTTCATGGGATCTGAATATTTTTGTAAGGCACTGTTATTGCTTTGTTCAAGGTTAAACGTCATGAAGATGGAAAATAGTTTTCTTAAATACCTTGAATTGTCAAACATAAATGTGATAAAAATCCTCCTCTGTTGAGAACTCTTTCTAATGAAAAGTGAATATTCTTCCACTGTAATAAAACCTTCCCCCATTATTCGTAATGCAACACAAGTGCTGACAGTTCTGCGTATGTCTCTGCGACATTTATGTAGCCTGACAGCTAACGTAATCACCACACAGAAACACTGTATGGATCTTTGTTCCAACTCAGCAGTTACATTATTAACTTAAGACTCCCAACCTAAGGACTTACGAGTCATTTGTCTTTCCACAGGTGTACAGCAGCATGGAGCATCTTTCCCAGCTGGAGCAGAAAGCTACAACCTCTGTGTCCCGTCGAGAACACAGGAGCCCACGAGAGGACAAGGTGGCAAAAAGAGAGAGCCTGGGCAGCTTCGGCATGAGGGAGAAGAGCTGGAGGACTGGATCTCCTGAGATGTGAGTTGCTGTCAGCTTCCTGTGAGGGTTTTTTTTTTTTATTGTAAAATATATCTCAATACTTCAAGAAAACACTTTACTCTTCGTACATCAAAAATTTTGTTGCTGACTTCCACTTCTGAAAAGCTCTTATCTGCAGATATCTATTTTAGCCAATTCCCATTTACCTTTAATAATCCTTAATAGCTTGAACAGACTTTCTGCTTGCTTCATAAACTCAAAATGCAATTGTCTTAACATTAAAATGTTCATTGTAAAGTTAAAAAAAAAATAAAAAAAAAAGATTTTTCTCAGATTACCTAGCTACCTGTTTCTGCATCCCTGGGAATCTATAGATACAGTAAAAAAGAAGCAAGGTCAGCCCATGTGTGAAAGAGAAGTTGGTGTTATGCAGATCTACAATTAAACAGGGCTTCACCGTCCTCACTTCCCTTTTCTCTCTACCCTTCCTCCTGGCCACACAAGAAAACCTTTAAAACTTCCTTTAATGCATATTGTTTTTATGCTAAAACAAGCATATCTATACTAATTGTTTTGCCTCACCACCCTTGTGGTTGTGCAGGAAGCGGCTGTCTTGTTCTGAGTCTCTGTACATGGAAGGAGACGCGAGCCCTCCTCTTGGCGCCCGCCGACGCTTCTCAGCTTTGATGGACACCCATCGCTTTGCCTCACCCTTCGAAGGAGAGTCCGATTCCCTGACCCGTCAGAATCTCATGAAGTTCCGAGGAACGTCGCTGGATGGCACCACTGTCCCTTCGCCAAGCCTCCTGGAACACAGGCCCATTGTGAGGGATATAAATGGAGCAGGTTCGTTGGCAAAGCTTAGAAAGCACAAAGTCTGTAATGCCTGATTTGATACGGAGAAATGAACCATTATTTCTAATTTCAGCTGCAATCGTCCTGCAATGTTCAAACCATTTGGATTTCTTGCAGACAAATCATCTAGACTTGGAGAGAGCGCCAGCGTAAGCTCAGCCATCATGACATTATCCCCCGGCCCTGCCGCACCCAGCCGGGATGTGATCACTCCTCTGTATGACCCTCTGGGGCCCAGAGCCGCAAATGACCTGGTCCTCCGCCGGGCACGCCACCACCATTTATCTGGCGATGGAGAGAAACGGAACTCCAGACAAGCAAACAAGGTTATCAAGTCAGCGTCTGCCACAGCTCTGTCTGTTATCATCCCATCAGGTGAGAGGCTGAAGGTCCTAAAGCGCTGCTACTCTCTGAAACGTCTGAAGTCTATTTCCTCTGACCTTACCTCCTCCTTGCCTGCAGTGGAGCAACACGGTGGCTTCTCTCCGCTGGCCAGCCCCATGTCGCCTCACTCTTTCTCCTCCAACCCCTCGTCACGTGACTCCTCACCCAGCAGAGACTTCTTTCCTGCAGTCAGTGTTCTGCGCTCCCCGATCACAATCCATCGCTCTGGAAAGAAATACGGCTTTACCCTAAGGGCTATCAGGGTCTACATTGGAGACAGTGACATCTACAGTGTCCATCACATGGTTTGGGTAAGAAAAATGTGGAAATGGCATGAGTCATAGTTTTGTGGCATTTACTCTGCTGGAGTTAAACATTTACTAGCTTAAACTACTTTATTACTTTGACCGTTGAAGGTGATAATGGAAATTAATGGCCTCTTATAACAGATTGATAGCTGAAAAAATTAAATAAAAGTTGAACACAGAGGAAAACTAGTCTATCTTTTAACCTACATCTTTATATATCAGGCATATTGTTAAAGTTGTGTACCCAGGGGTTCCGATTAGTGTGTTCCCACAATGACATGGATATACATCACCTTAACATAAACCATCTGGGTCACTTTCAAATGTTGCAAAAGTGTTACAAAGCTTTGTTTTTCCCAATTTAAATCATGACTGGAGCTTCTTTGTTCTCCTGAATGCGATCTTGTACATTTTTTTGTGCATCGGCAGCATGTTGAAGATGGAGGCCCCGCTCAGGAAGCCGGTCTTTGTGCAGGTGACCTAATAACTCATGTCAATGGTGAGCCGGTCCACGGTTTGGTCCACACCGAAGTGGTAGAGCTCATCCTCAAGGTTGGCGTCAGTTACACTTCATCTTATCTATACCCTATGCTGGCGACTTTTAAGCGACAAAGCATTGGCTCCTTTTAAACATGTCGACATTGAATCATTGAAAGCTTTCTCAGCAGAACTCATTTAATTGCTCTGTGCAGAGTGGGAACAAGGTGACTGTGACAACCACGCCTTTTGAGAACACCTCCATTAAAGTGGGCCCTGCCCGCAAAGCCAGCTACAAGTGTAAGATGGCTCGACGAAACAAGAGGACAGCTGGGAAGGAAAGCCAGGACAGGTAGGAGCTACAGATGTCCTGCAGCTCACATTTAAAACTCAATACTTTAAATAAGCTACTAATTCCTTTACTGCGGAACAGAGGAGCAATGAAGGAATGGTGAGCTGCTTCACCATGAAGGTTTTGGTGTCATATTCCAGCTTTGTTTCGATAGAGTACTTTGTCAATACATGCCTTTCTTCAAAATTGTGGGTAGCTTTACAGTCAACATTTTCAGCAGTTTGCTATGAGTTAGTTTTACCATTGAATTCCTTTAACTAAAACTTGCCAGATGTTTAACAACATTTGTAATATACAATCCTGCTTCTTTAAGTCTTGTCTCTTTACTACGCGAGTTAAAAGTAGATCAAATTCAGTTTTTCTGCATTTTTAGTGTGTGGGGTGTTGATGACCTACTTCCTTTATTTAGTTAACCAGGGTTTATCTTGTCTGAGTTTTCCTCTTCACATTAGCTGTGTAAGGAAATGGCCCTTTATAGAATCTCAAACGATCTGGTTTGAAACATCAGGAGTCGTTTCCGTGCCAGTTAGTATGAGTATGTGTTAATTTTAAGATCAACCCGTTCATTTTGTGCACTTCAATTCTCTGTCAATCCTGCAGCAAGAAGCGCAACTCCTTGTTCCGTAAGATCACAAAGCAGTCCAATCTCCTCCACACCAGCCGCAGCCTGTCCTCTCTGAATCGCTCGTTATCCTCCAGTGAAAGTCTTCCTGGCTCCCCAACTCACAGCCTCTCTGCCCGGTCCCCAACTCAGGTCCACCGCTCAACCCCGGAGCCCTCCTACCTCGGTATGTTGCCATGTTTAGACAGTTATCCAGCAATTATCAGTGAGGCCGGCTTTCTTTGTGTAGCTTTGAACCTCTTCCTCTGGTGATTTCTTACGTCTCCCCATGTGTCCGCTGAACTCTTTAGGTGCTTCCTCCCAGAGCAGCTCTCCTGCCTCCAGCACTCCGAACTCACCCTCTCCCTCTCAGCACATGCGGCCCAGCTCCTTGCACGGCCTGTCCCCAAAACTTCACCGCCAGTATCGCTCTGCCCGTTGCAAGTCTGCTGGAAACATCCCGCTGTCCCCTCTGGCACACACACCCTCCCCGACTCAGTCTTCCCCTCCTGCGATGCCAGGCCACACAATAGGGAGTTCCAACACAACACAGTCGTTTCCTGCAAAGCTCCACTCCTCGCCGCCGGTGGTCCGGCCCAGGCCAAAGAGCGCCGAGCCCCCGCGCTCACCTCTTCTCAAGCGGGTGCAATCAGCAGAGAAGCTCGGCTCGCCTCTGACCCAGTCCAGTTCGACCGGAGGGCTTGGAGGTCCGTTGAGGAAGCACAGCCTGGAGGTGCAGCACTCTGAGTATCGCAAAGATGCCTTCCTCTGTGAGCTGGGGCTCCAGAGCCTGCTGGAGACGGAAGGAGAAAATCTGCCTCCTAATGCGCCTCCACTGCCCGTGTCCTCCACCACCCCAGAGACTGGTGTGCTGAAGCCTGTGAGGAGACTCGGGAGACAGGAGTCGCCGCTCAGCAGGGAGACTCTGCTGGCCGGAAGGGAGAGGGAAGAGAGAGAGCGAGAAAGAGGAAGGGACAGGGAGAAAGACAGAGAGGTAAACCAAGCAGGTCTGCCAGCGTCACAGACATCTTTGGCAAGGAAATCTCATGCAAGCGATTTTAACATGAACGCCAAACAAAGTGAAGAAACCAGTAGACTCGTAACCCCTGCCTCTCCTATTAAAACTGCAAGCACACCCCCAACGCAGGTAGAAGCTAGAAACAGCAAAGATCTCCAGCTCAAGCAACAAGGAGGAAAACCAGAGCCAAAGCAAGATGGGGAGAACAAAAATCAGTCCTGTCTGCCAACTGCTGCCTTCAACAAGAGCTCATCTACTCCGGATAAATCCGGCGGAATCAACACAGTCGTGACAGGAGCCTCTTTGAGCATAAATAAGACTTTTAAATCATCAGGAATGGGGAACGGTCAACGGAAGTCTGACGGCAACAATTCAAGAACTGCTGAGCTCGGCTCCAAAAGCCCCAAACTGGCAGCTCGGGTCCTGGCTCCCGTGGTTCCCTCGCACGGGCAGCCGCTCTCTCTGGGCAAAGTGCGGCAGGGCTTGGGCCCTGTTAATTGTTACAGGGGAACTCTCGACTGGGAGGACAAATGTCGCCTGGAGGTGGTGGAGGAGCATTCCCCCTCTCCCTCCCCCTCCCCAACAGCTGTCACCCCCTCCCTCTGTGGACCTTCGTTGTGTAAGTCGCGGCCCGTCTCCCCCGGAGATAAGACGAGCTTTGTCAGCCAGCTCACCACCGTGGCCAAAAACGTCCTCGGACCAATCAAGCTAGGCTCTACAGAGGGGTCTAGGAATAAAGAGCAGCAGAGCAAGGCGTCCGAGGAGAAGCTGGGACCTGCCGCCGGGAGGTCCGACACTCCTGCAGGAGCGCGAACGCTTCTGGGCGCTGCGGTGGTGACTCAAAGTCCTGGCAGTTCTCTGCTTGAAAAGTCAGCACCACCTGGGAACCTGCCAAAAATGTGACCCCCTGGATCATTACATCAGACTTTAGTAGAAAATAGTAAAAATAATAATGTCTTTTTGTTTTGGAGGGACAAAAAAAAAAAAAAAAAGACAGAAGACAGGCACTTAAAGATGTACATTCCAGTTTCATAGTATATAAAGTCTTATTTATTGATTAAATCCTTGAATAAATCTAATGTAAAAGCAGTAAGAAAAAAATAGCTGTAAAGGTCATTACCTGTTGGTTTTCTATGATGCATAATTTATTAAGACACATAGTCATGTTAAGTGAAACACTTTATCAGATATATATGTGTGAGTCAATGTGAATGCATGTTATATTCTATATATGTACTGTATGTGCATAATAGGTACAAGAGGGTCAAAAAGTGCTTTACTGATCAAAACATGCTGAATACTGTGAATACCAAATTCTGTAACTCTTTTTCAACTAGAGAATTCAGAATTTTTTTTTTTTTTTTACTGCTGTTCAAAATGGAAGAGTGAATAAGTCAAGTTGTAATATTTGCATTAAGCAGCACAGCATCGGTTTGGCTTCTCTATAAAAGCATCAACATGATTAGGCATGTTTACTCATCATGCAGCAGTTTACTTTCTCTGAGCGGTTAGACGAATCCACAGCAACCCTCTCTGTCAGTGGATGTTACATTAGGACCTGTCTAACACCCAGTCTGTCAGAGGATTGTCTCCGAGTGTGTGTTTATCCTCCTCCTATGGTTCCTATCAACTCTTGAAGGCTGCAGAGGAGAAAAGGAGCGACTGAACTTGGGCTCAGTGCTTATCTCGTCCTTGCAGGAAGGCCACACCGGCCTTTCTTCTCCCTCCGCCTCCCAGTGCTGCAATGGGCAGGAGCACAAACACCCAAAAACATTTGCATTGCCACAGGAGACAGCTCTGTCAGCAGCTGATTTCGATACTTTTTAATCCATACTCCTTTTGTGGTCTGCGAAGCAGGACATAAGTGTGCTTGGTAGTGTGATTTGGAAAGGTTCAAACACGTGTATGTGTGTGTTATGTTCATTAAAGTAACATGACAGAAAGCAGCCTGGAAATTTGTAGTTAGGATCCAGGGATACTGACTTATCGCACTCACACTGCCCAGATTGATTTTACTGTAGGAGCATAAAACAGAGTAGAATATATATATATATATATATATATATATATATATGTCATCAGCACATATATACTAAACTCAAGAGTTTTCAGCCAGTCAGTTACTGATGTAGCTTAAAATAATTTGCTGAAGAGCTCCGTGGCTAAAATAGAGGTTGTTCGTATAGACCTAAAAATATCTTGAATCAATTTAAAAATGTTCCTGTGTTAAAATCAAACGGGATATTTAATGTAACACGTTGATAAAGACTGTTACCTACGTCAAAGCTCAGATAATATTTCGCAGGACAAAATTTATCTGACAGTGACAGCAACCGTATTCATATCCATTGAACACATTTTGTTGTGTTAAAAGAACCTTATTGTATTTTTTTCTTTGAATGGATGGAATGTGATAGACCAACACAAACTAACAAATATTTAGACATTATAAGAAATTACATGGTTTTTAATATATTTTAAATCAGTAAATTATGTTATTTATATCCATCTCCAATGAGTCTATAGTTTGCAGAGCTGCTTGTTGCTCCAATTACAGCTGCATGTCTTTTGGGGATATGTCTCACCCAGCTTTGCACATCTACAGTGTGTATTTTAGCTTCTTTTTTTTAGTTTCATAATAACAAACTGACAAAGTGGGTGGAGATCATTTGAAACAAAATGTTTCAGTGCAGCAACATACTTCAGTTGGGTTTTATGTCTGGACTTTGGCTAGACCATCCTAATAAATGAATACGCTTGGAACACTCAGCATCCAAGAGCAGAGAAGGGCTGGAAGACACACCAGACAAGGTACCACCTGACAGTGGTGCGTGGCAAACCTGCAACATCCCCCAGGCCAAAGAGGCACAGGTAGAGATGTAGGAAACCAAACCCATCAGCACAGCTATTTGTTCACTAATGCTCTCTTTGACTCTTCAAGGCAGTTTGTTGCACCAGAATAGGAATGCACAGCACACTTTTTAGATTGTTACTGGTAAAAGTGTGAATGTATCATTTTCCTTCCAACTCACAATTCTGCACGAGTTTGTGTTGGTCTGTCCCAATGGTCCCAATCCCAATATTATGTAGTTTATAAATCTAACATTGCAAAATGTGCATAACTTCAAAGGATATAACTACTTTTGCAATGCGCTGTATTTTTTCAGTTTTTTCCTTATATGTAAGCATCTTAACCTATTTTAAGCACATACCTATCCATTGTATGTAAATGTATGCAATTTGTCTTTGATTTATTTTGATTAACTTATGCAAAAATGCAACATAAAGTTAGCCAAGAGCAGCATATCAATTTGTCAGTAAGACAGTGTTTAAAAAGCTGAAATATATGTTTGAATTTGTACTTGAACTATAATTTTTTTTAGGACTTGGTTGGAAACTGATTTTATTGAATTAGACTCTCTTACTGTCCAATTTGAGATTAAGTCTACAGAAAGCTACAGCAAAGTGAAAACCTGATTCCTCTTAAATGCAGTGGTATCACCTCTATTGTTCACATGAAAGCATATACATTATGTAGTAGATGCTTTGGAGTCTAAATGATTTTTTTTACATTCATGTAGTTCTCTACTGCCCCCTACTGGTTCCTAGTGACGACTGTTTAACATGTTTAATATTCTAACAAACCTGAGATTGGTGATTTATTGGGGGATGTTACAAACCATAGTGTCATAAATATGCATTCATGTTTCTGAACTATTACCTGAACACTTGGAACAAAAATTATTTTCCCTGGTGTTCTACTTGTGATTGTTAATTTTATATCTGGATTCCATTTTTGAATATATTGTATGCATAATTCTGACAGGAAAGACTACTTCTTATATCTTAATGTAACAATGAAAATGTCACAAATAATTAATGTGATAAAGAAATAATCTTTTTTTTCATATTTAGGCCTTAGCCCAATCAGTTGAGTCAAAAAATACCCTTTTTTTAGTATTTTTGGATTGACGGAGAGAACATCATCCAAGCACTTTATTTGACAGAAGAATATCTTTGTTTTTGACGTTGCTTCAAAGTTACCAGATGCTAACAGATATAGATGGTAAAAATGATCACAGTAATCCAACTATAAACATTCCACTCCTCTCTGTTCACTCTGTGTATTCAGTTGTTCCACTGGGGTATTTTTGTTTGTGATAGATGCAGACACCTGAAGTGCAGTATGTGGAATAAAGTGAAGAAATTTGTTCTCAAACTTTACTCTCTTGTTGATTGCTCTTTTCTCATTTATGTTTAAGATTGAAAATACTTTATCAATCTTCTGATTAGCTAACTTCTGTTTATAGCATCAGCTGGCAATCATGACTTGTAAGACCATTTACAGGTACATCTCAGTCATTTAAATAGTATCATTTCAGTTGAAATCGAAAAGGGATAAATCATAGATTATTTAATGCTTTTCCGACATGTTGAGATTTTTGTTAAGTTGGTATTTCTGTTCATTTAGATTACTGTGGTTTACAGATAATAAAATTCAATTTCCCAGAATACTATATAAATAAGACTATTTTTTTAAATGACTTTATATTATGTGTCATGCTGGGTCCTACATGGTGAGGAAAGCTTCTTACTTGATAGTTGTTGAAAAGACAAATTAGTAACACATTCCACAAGAAGAGTAAGAAAGAATTGGTTATTGCTAAAAAGGCTGCTTTCTGCAGCATGCTTCATCCAAACATATGAATGAAGAGCTGAGTGGTTGAAAAAAGTTTGGTAGATTGGATTGTGAGTCAGTCTAATCAAGGTAAAATAACAAATACCTAAAGAGTCTAGTGTCATAGTGTTTAATTGATCAGCCAAACTGGAGCAGTGGCTAAAACAGATCCAGGAACAACATCAGACATCTCAGTCCAGAAATGTGCAGTTCTAGGCACGGCCAAGATACTGGAGGAGACCCCTCAAGCTCCCAGGCCTCTGGTAGAGGACCCGAGCTCAGAGGATGAAAGAGACCACCCACGGAGGGTGAGAAGGGAATGTTTGGGCGTGTGTGTGTGCGTGCGTGTGTGTGTGAGTGTGTGTGTAAGTGTAATTTTCAGTTCAATTCACAATTTTGTACGACAATGCTTTTGACATTGCATAAAATGCCACTAAAATAGATTCAAATGTGTGGCTCAGACAAATGTGGATAAGTCCAAGGGGGTGTGAATAGTTTCTAAAGGCACTGTACTGTGGGTCACTTCTGAGATAACCGTTAAAAGTTGTTTCGTGATATTCTTATCTTAAATAAACTAAGTACTTATTGAAATTACATTTTTATGGAGCATATTTTGCATTGCACATAGCAGGAAATGTGTTCGTTAGATATTTTTATTTTTAGTTCCGGTCACAAAGTAAAACGTAGTCAATATCACCCAATGAAGGTTTGCCAATTACTAATACGAGCTAAACGGCGAATCAGCGTTCTCGCAACGGTTATTTCAACCAATCACGTGGCAGCAGGAACGGATAACAGGAAGTAAATACAGTGACAGCTAGAGGGAGACCCTAAAGCTGGAGCTGTACAGTGGGGCGGACAGTATTACTCTGGTTTAAACTAAACAAATTAACCTGAGTGCCTTAAGGAGAAACATCTTCTGCACTGACATCTGATGTAGTGTGTTGGGATATAATGGCGTTTGTTGTTGTGTGCTCATAAATGTTACCGAGCGAACGCCGGGTCTAGCGCTAAAGTTAGCTTATTTAGTTAGCTAGTTTTAGTGACGGGACCGAAGAAGGCAACGACATGAGTGAATGTGCGACCAGACACCGGCCTGCTTAACCAGGAACTGAGACAGGTAAGTAGGCCCTCAACTGAGGGAACTTTAACTCTACATAAAGCCTGGTGTTAAGTCCGTTTTGTTGGACCCAATGTCGTAAGACGTTACTACAGCGTAATTACTCAAAAGCTGTTGGACATAGTCACAAAAGCATGTTCTTGCTGTTATGACACATTATTTTTGGTATAGCCTGTAACCCCTCTCCCCCCCCC